CCCCAGAAAATCGCATTGCTCCCCTTTCAAGCTTCGCAGGAAAAATGTCGAAAGATTCACGCTTCTTCTCGTACCTTCCGATCGAAAATCCGTCCAAACGGCCCGAAGCTAACCCTCCAAGAAAATTAAAATCCGACAGTTTTTGAACGGTCAAAATGCGTAGCAAGATTCTCATGTGCCAGCCACAAACCGTCCCGCTGATTGCCTCTTTTTGATTGGCCGATTGACCGGTCAAAATGCGTAGCAAGATTCATACGTGCCATTCAGAAACCGTCCTGCTGATTGCCTCTGTTTTGCTTGGATATCGTTAAACAATAACTGATTTTAAGCAGACTTGGTAAGCGATTATTGTTTACACCGTTCAATTTAACGTCAATAAGTAAACGGTAAAATATCCTTTCCACGAAACAGCTATTTCCGATGTGGTAGAAAGCTAATGAAACAAATTATCATTCCATGTAAATTTTTCTTCCTTTCGTCGGCCGAGAGCCTTCCACGTGACGTGCAAATTACTGCTAACAAGTAATGATCTTCTCTTGCGCAATGCCGTCTAACTTTGTTCAGTTGGGTGAAAAACATTCAGCTCGTCCCGGAGGGGGGGTACTCTCATACATTAGCTATACGGGTATGTGCCGCCCGACGGGGTCGTGATTTTGAAGCTCCTGATTTAGAACGGGGTATCCATTTCAGAGGCGTTTTCTAGAAAGGGGTATAAAAAATTGTGGATCACGCGGCTTTATCTTCTGCTTAAAATTGTTGCTGATCATGAAGAAGCATTTATTTGATGTATAAGTCGAACAAGTAAAGAAATATCTTTTTAAAACAACAGGGCTATTTCAATTTACAAACTTTCTAGAACGGAGTATAAACAATTGACCCATTTCTAGAACAGGGTATCAGTTTTAGGGCGAATTCTAGAACTGGGTGTAAAAAATTGGCTCATTTCTAGAACGGGGTATCAATTTTAGGGGAAATTTTTTTTAGAACGGGGTGCCAATTTGGAGTCCCGGGCGGCACATACCCACCCAAAAAATACCCAAGTGCCTCCCCCCCTCCCCCGCCGGGCAGCTCGTGCGTAAATGAAACCACTCTTTTTTCATTGATGCTAACGCTCCTGCGAGAAAATGGCAAAATGGCAGATATTTTATAAAACTGTGAACAAATTCGGTGGATTGAATGATGAAACAGTTATTGGACGAGGTTCAGAGCAAAATATCAATTATTTGCCGAAGCCTTATTAATGACGCGTCGTTGACCTTCGCGACGGCAACATTTGTAATCGGAGTCAGATTATCTTTTTTATATTTATTTCTATGGAAACGGGATATTTCCTAATTTTCCACGCAAGCAAATGTAATATTAGCAAAGATACAAATAATTAAGACGCTAAGCCGTTAAATAGAGATTATCAGTGTGGATAATTCCGTTTACAAAGAATGTATCTGTATACACGTAACACTAATTTGCAGAAGTATGCATACATGACATGAAAAACAACCTGGCTAAATTTGGCCATTTACTCGAGTCCCTATTTCTAATCGGTCTGAAAAAAGTTTTGTAATGCTTCTTAGAATACATATTTCACCGGCAAACTGTTTTTAAAAATTTTTGAAGCTTCTTATCTTGCATGCATGTTAACAGGAGACCTTACTCTTTGTACTCTCGTTAGTGTTTACTATGCTTCCGCATATCGTGTTACTTCATTTTTCTCTAAGTCTATCCTTTTTGTGCAGGTAAATAAAGTTAACTCAGGAATTGATTTCCCGAACTTCCTCAATCAGCCTGTCTTTGACCACACACTCCATTTTATAAGCGAAGAGATCGTCCTGCCACTACTCACTGCAGGGTTTGAAACTTAGCCCAACTTGATAACAGTGCATACGACTTATATTGTCAAAGCATAAAACGTCTTAACCTACAAAACACCAAACACGATACAATTTTTTTTATCGCGATACCGAAACAATCAAAAGTAAATTTATAAGCAGGTTTTCATTGTTTCAGACCAACATCGAGGTAATGAGATCTTATAGCCATCTCAACTGGTAAACACTTCAGTCTTCAATTCAAAGCTAAATGAGTTCGATAAATTATATGGAAATCAATATTCCGATATTCCAGTGTTCTACGACCTTTGTTTTCTCTTGATTATTTATCAACGAATTTAAGGAAGAAGAAATCGTGTAGTTGGTAGTAAATACAGTATACTTACCAATAGCCCGACCCAAACACCACCGTAGAGAGAGTCCAACAAAAGATATTTCAGCTGAAGCATACTTTGAATGGCGCCGCAGACTGCCATGAAAGCCCCCAAAATAATATGAGCAATAGAAACGCAGTTTATCTTGCCTCGTCCTACATTCCTGGTGAAAACACAAGACATTGCGCTGAGTAATTAAGATGCTAAATTTTGATACACTGCGACCGCGACCGTTTGCTCGACTTCGGAATATTCGCGTCTCTGTTGCGGACTGTTGTCCCCCGTTGTTGATGTTTTCTGAATTGTCGGTTACTACCCCACCCTGGTTTCAACCCTTATGTGACCTGTGGTATAGCTTTCACTAATTCCATTCAGACGCTTCCTTGATTTTGAACTCGTCATCAAAAGCCTTCTGTCAACTGTCAAACTCTGCAGTTCTCGCTCAAATTCGAGCTTCTAGTAAGCACATTAGCTTAGCACTCTGTTCTACACATCTTTTAGTTATCAGGAATGAATGTTGCTTTTTTTAATGTTGAAGAGCAAAAAATTGTGACGACTTCAGTGAACAGGAATAATTCAAACACGCAATCTTAACGATTTTGAAGCTTGAGGCAAAATGATCCATTTCTAACCTCTTGACTTCCTACCTCAGAGGGGGACGGGTGGGTTGGGGAAAGGTTCACTTAACCTCTTTCAATTTGCTTATTACGCGAGGCTCAGTGCTGCGCATTCCTACAATCTTTCGTTCCACAGATTACATAGTGAGCTGAAGTCTGTATTTCTGCAATTGCCATTTCTGTCTATAACGATATCATAATATAGCTATAGACTGAAAAAAAACTAATTTTAAATTTTCGGCATTCTTTTGGACAAAAATCAAAACGTTCACAGCTATTTCGAGAAAGGTTGTCGGTAAAAATGTGCACCCGACGATCCCGAAAGGTAATGTGGGATATGATCAATACACTGTTCCAGACAGTAGCTGTCAAAATTTCTTTTGTTGCTTTCCTTTAGCACGCGCAAACATACGTCCATGGCCTCTCGTGCCATTTTTTCAAATTTCTTTGAAGAACAGCGAACTCAAAACCACCCACAACACCTGTCGGGATTGTCGAGTGCATTTTTTCCGACAACCTTTCTCGAAATAGCTGTATAGACAATTAAACTACAGTCAACTCTCGATAACTCCAATCGATCTTCTAGAGAAATCGAAAAAAGTTCTGCTTTTTGAATTGGTAGTTCGAGTTATCGAGAGTTTGAAGCAAATAACCAGAAATAAGAAAATAAGCAAATAGATGGGGAGGGAATGCAGCTAAGAAACAAAGTACACAGGAATGAACACGGAATTTGAACTGGAGTGACAAAAAAGTAAAGACAAAGAATTGACTCGGTCGCTTTGAAATAAATTCAATGTCTTGGACTTCAGTACACGGTTTTTTTTCCTGACATATCACGCGCTTATAACATGGTTCGAGTTATCGAGGGTAAAATTATGTAGAAATGATCTGGGGGGAAACAAAAATAACTTCGAGTTAGCGGGAGGTTCGAGTTATTGGGAATCAACTTTATTACAGTTTGTGAAGTTTGTTCTAGCATTTATGTGCAAATTTTCTGCATCGTTTGAAAGTCATATCAGAGGCTGTCAGCTTCTATAAGAGACGTCTTTTCCGCGAAGCGCCCATTAGATCCATAAGACTACCAACGGCTGATTTACGCCAGCAATGGCACAAGACTTTTAAATCAGTTTTTTGCAAAGCGAAAGCAATCGTTCCTAGCATCTATAAAGGAAAGAAAATTAAAAAATAGTCTTTAAAGATGTATATTGATACGTGAGGGTTTGGGCGAAATTAACTGACAAATGGCCAAAGCTTAACGACAACTGACAAATCGCCTTGCAGTTATATAATATTATAATAGCGAAATAATCGCATAACAAAAAAATCAGCGTGCAGGGGCGTAGACAGCCCATAGCCCTGCATGCTCGGGCAAACAACTTGGTTTAACCACTTATACCACTTGTAATAAATTATGAGTTGTTGGGTTGGGCTTTAAAGCGTAAGAGCTCAAAGTGTTTTTGAGGTCAGTGCGTACTAGCCATGCAAGCAATTTTTTTTTAGGATATGTGGGAATGAAAGTCAGTCAGGCCTACAACTAGTGGAAAAGCTGGCTACGCCCCTGACATACATGGTCAAAAATCAGCAAACGTTATCTTGAAGAGAAAATCCTCTCTTGCAGCCATTTGATTCGGGAATTGACAACTGACAATAATTTTCCCGCCCGACCACTTGCTCATTCTTAGTGTGTAATTCAGTTATGGGATTTTACTGACCCTTTACTACTACACGGCAAGAAGAGGGTAGGCAATCTGTCGTTTCGGCCTGTAAATAGACCCTAAAGGGACAAAAGGGCAAACAAATGCATTTTATGGATGCGCAAAAGACTAAAATTACTGGCTTAGTGGTTTTTACAACAGTTTAAGGCGTGCCTGTTCTGAACTAAGTATGTGCAAGGGGTACCCATGATTGTCCGTAATAGCTACATACGAAAGGATTACCATTTTTTTCCCAATTTTATAGAAAAGTTTAAATGGTTGGAGCAAGGGGCGAAAGCCTCCTAAATAATCTTTGTTGTTTGACCTCCTCCGGGAGTTTCTTGCTCGTGCGTGACTAGAAATTCCAGAACTGCTTACTGGACAACCCAGGTACTATAATATACCCTTCTTTTAAGGGTATCAGAGAAACTGTTTGTTCCGTAGTGGCGTGTAATTTTTGCATACCTTGCCTCCTTGCTTGGCACTGCCTTAGCTGGAGGGACGTGCACGAGGGGCGGTTGAACCTGCTGTTGGGGCGGTTGTACCTGTGGCCAATCCTTCAGGCGAGGCAGCCTGAACAATCACATACGGACCCCCTGAAGCACCAGAAACAGGCGCTAGCACCATCGGTTGTTGGTAACACCACGCTGCTACGGTGTTATTGTCGTGTTCTTCCACTGGAACTGCAAAGGGAACACCTCCAGAAACCTGAGTCGTGACGTATCGTCCTTCCGCTAGGCTGTTACAGAAGACCCGCTGATCTACCTATCAGTGATTGTATGAAGTATAGTATCAGCCGTCGCCCCAGGCGAAACTGAAACTCTGATTTAAGTCTGTGAAACAGTGCCGAAATATTTGTTCTGGGCCCCAAGGTATGTACCAAGATTTGAGTACGCGCCTTGATTGGTTTGTCAATAGCAGATTGAAAGGAAATTCGAAACGCATTTCCGGTAATTCATTGAATCCGTTGCACCCAGTACAAGGATTTCAGCGCTGCTTCGCTGACGTTACTCATCGGGGTTTAATTTCGTCTACGACGCAGGCTAGTTTACTAGCAGTCTGCCAAATTTTGAGATGTCTTTTGCTTTACTCATTTCTTCAAGCGATCAGAACTGCGCGGTCCTTTTATAATTAAAATGGTTGGTGCGTTACGCTTCTTATCAATCGTGCAAAGGAAGGGTACTTGTGTGAAAATATTAGCAACGCCAGGGGAATGTTCTTGTGCAAAGTACGCGTCTGTTTCGGTTTGTATTACCTAACTTTCACCAGACTTTCTATTCGTATAATAAATAATTTCCTCTCACAACAGTTTTGAGGCATTAGGGCGGTCCTGAGCATGCCATATTGGCTCTCAAAAAATATTTAGTGGAAATATAGAGGATAATATAAAACCTCTGACCAATGAGATCAGAATTGAGTTCTCAAAAAACGGGCGGAGCTTATTCGTAGCCTGCGATGACAGTCGTCTCTCTTCTCTAACGAAACGCTCCTAGCGGCGAGGAACGAGGAGAGCTGGGCTGTATTCGCAAGCTACCTTATTCGCCAAGGTCAAACGAGAAAATGATGGCGGAGGGGGCGATGGAAGAAGGCGACTTCTCTTCCCCCCTCCCACCCCTAGGGCGTGTTGTTCCTCTTAATGTACGAACCATGAACGAAATTCACACAAAAGAAACCGCCAGCTACGCAGGAAGGCGAGATAGACTGTTTAATTTTTTTATGGGTATTTACCCACGTCTGTGCACAGCAGTTGCAGGGATTCATCAAACAGACACTTATTGCTGCCGAGATTCCAGCAATAAGCGAACAAATTCCAAGGATGAGGATGATGATGGCGACAGCAAACTTTGCATCATAGTGACTGCTATTGTTGGATCTGTAACTGGTAATTACGTCAATCCAGAAGCTGTAGATCAAAATGATTAATCCCCCTAGCAAAGCAGAAGTGATAGAGAAACCCATAAAAATAGCAGCCTGAAAAATACAGTAACACAAACATGACATTAGTGATCGCACAGGCTGCTCGTTCATATATCCCCAAAAAGAAGCTAGGAAGGCGCGTCTTTCATTTTTAATGTATGTGGAAGCTAGAGGCCGTTTACAGTAAGTCTTAGTGAATTCTCTAATCAGAGTGCTACTCGACTTAAGTACTTAATGTTTTTTTGGATAACAACAGGTCCATTGATTCCTAAGGTTGAGGGGTGTGAGAGATGCCAGATTGAAAATATGCATGGGATATATTTTCGGAATGATTCCGAAAATAGCTATTGGGGGAAAATTTGGATCGTGATAACGGGAAGGGGGACCCTACTGGGGACCCTTAGAGGTGTGTGTTCCGTTCTTTAGAACTTGTAACGTTCACTTGTAGAAAATATGAAACGGCAAGCTGATCCCCGTGTGTGGCCAATTGATTAACATCTCGAACTCTGGGAAGGTCCGGGGTTCAAGCCTCGCCCGTCGAGTTGTTTCCTAAAAGCAGGGAACTTTACCCCACTTTGTCTCTCTTTACCCAAGTGTATCAATGGGTACGGCGACATAGTGCTGGGGGAGGGGGTTAATCCTGTAATGGACTAGCATCCCGTCCAGGGAGGGTGGCGCGTAACAATACTCCTAGGCATGCTTCGTGCTAAGAAATCCGGAATAAGCTTTGGCCTTTTGGGCCTTTGACTTACAAACACATTTCGACAAGTAGTCCTTTCTCTTTCACTACCACTTATTCCTAGACGTCCAGTGATGCACAGCTGTAAGAAAAGAAACGGAGACCTAAGGCAAAACAATCCCATTTTCCTTGCTAGCATGGGCCTTCTTCGCCGCCGAATACCTGCTGTCACGGAAATTATTTTTCAAAATTATTATCATTTATCGCTCCAGTGACTAGAACACTTGCAGATTTTTCTTTTCGCTTGATGCAGATAAAGAGAGAAAGAGTTTGAGTGAACTATTGTGATCCATCAAACCTTATAATTTTGCACTGGGTCTGCTGTTATTGGTTTATGTGCTATTCTGGCGTGTCCGTGTGTACTTGCCCTCAGGAAGCCGCTTCAGTCCCAAAGTAGTTTTCGTATTACAGTTAGTAACCGTACAAGATGTGAAATTGCTCGAGAAGAGTGTCGATAAATCTACCGCATTCATTATTTTCCAGATACGGAATTTTACATTGGTAAGATTGTTTGCGTTTCAATTTTGAGTGAGTTCAATTTTGAATCAACGGTCTTCATTTCGCTCGTTTGAGGCTGAACATCTCTCAACTGCCTCTGCAAATTTATTACTTTTCTAAAACTTTTCCATTAAACTGCATATTAACGTATGTCAATTTCATCTATAGTATTCTTTAGCGTTCCATATGATTCAGTATCTATTCAGTTACTCAGAAACTGTTAGTTGCTCAAAACAATCTTTTCAGGTCCTTCCGACGAGGTAAAAAAAAGTCCTCTCATCATGCTAATATTGATAATGTTGTTTCCGAATATTATAGTGACAAAAAAATCTGGTACTGGTATGGCATGAATATAACAACCCTGTCATCCAATACCAAATCTTCTTATTGCAATGTTAAAACATTAATACTCGAAAATTTTTTAAGGAATGTACGGACTCATCGAACACGACTTTTGCAACTACGAAATATGGCATTTTCTGAGGACTGATATTTACTTAAATTGCCGAGTAATACATGGAATATTAATTGCACACTCTATGCTACCCGATTTTTTAAAAGCTTACCAGGTCCTTCAGTTATTGGTGTCATTTATTTATTTAAAATCATGATGTCTTTTTATATACACATCTAATACTTATTTGCACCTTTAACAGTGACAAACGTATTTCTTTCAATGTTTTAGTAAAATCTTGCTTACCCATATCCCGATCCAAATCCCGTAGCAGACGCTGCCAGGTCCAACTTCCGTTTTAAAGCGTGCACTTCGATCGGCAATACCAAAAAAGAAAAGTAAAACCCCAGTAGTGATTTGAAATTTGGCAACCAACCTCGCTATTTTAGCAAAACTTGCTGAGTTATCTGCCATGTTGACAAGCCTCAGAAATTATATTCTGCGTCATTAAGCGGAATTTCTGGCTGTGAAAACGAGAGGTCTGCCACGTTTCCTCCTTAGTGCTGAACCAGGCAAATTCTTGTAGCTTTCATGCATGGTATAACGTTTCAAGGTGTTGGTGAGTGTCTTTGAGGGAATCCAAAACCTTAAGTGAAAATACAAACCTGATTCTTTTATCCGAAAACGGCTTTTCAAAGAAGTAAATCAGTGTGACACTGATGTCACGCTAAAGAAGCGCTTTTTCCGATTTCTTATTTCTCTCGCCGCAAGCAAATCCACCTAACTGAGGAAACATACCCTTTACAGAGAAAACAATTGAAGCAAAAAATCTGAAATTTTATATTTGAGTGGTCGATGTAAAGTGTGTCATTACATTGACTTTGATATTAATTACAATATGTCCTCATCTTTACACGATGTCGGCTACAATTAATTTAACAACACACGATCAATACAATGTATTTACGATACGATACTAGATCTAAGGCTCAAGTGATAAAGAAAAAACTTTAAAATGAATATTTAACATGGAGGTCAAAAGAACATGGTCTCCCGCATACGTGTAAAAAGTAAGAATTGTGTGTGAACATGAACAATTTCACCATTTATTATACATTGTACTATCTGTCTTCTTCGTTGGCTAAGTGCTTACAGTTAATTTGGGAAATCAGCGCAAACTACTGATAATTACTAACTAGCCTTATCTGCTAGAAAGTTTCGCACAATATTATATCTCATTGGATGAGGGCCTACAGTAAATTTTAGAAATCAGCGCAACCTGCAGATTATTCAGTTATGTTGCGCGCACAATGTATGATTTCCAATAGCAATGTTAAACTGTGTTCTGTGCGATATATGGTGTGTTTGTCGTTATATCCTTCAAAACAACTATAGTAAAAATTAGTATTATTACATAATTGCTTATGGACTGAGGGTTGCGCGCGCAGTGCGTGATTTCTAAGAGCAATGTCAAACTAAATGAATAGATAAAACCATATCTAAGGATTGTCTTAAATGTAGCATTTTCTGTACAATTAAACCTGGTACAGGGTAAGCCTGCTACTTCATTTTTATCTGCTAAGGAAGTTAGGAAAAAACTGATTCAGAAGCTTATGTTATCGCTGTTGATGTGCTCCGCCAAAAAATGCAAATCTAACTATAAGTAAACTGTGTCAGAACTCTAAATTTGAGGTAAAACATTATTTCAACTGTCGCAAAGTTATCGTCTTAGTGCTTGATTTTACTGCTTGAGTTTAGTGTTTCCTCGACAAACCTCTCGATTGCTACGTTGAAAACGGTGCTCTAATTCGCCCAACCTTTAGCTTCACATCAACCATCCAACCCGCTGCTGATCTTGTGTATTCGCTTTGTGGTGGTGCGTAGCCTCCATGCTCATATGAAAGATTCTTCGTGAGTGAAAGAAATCTTTTGCACGACACTGCATTAGGTGGGGAAAATATTCTTCAACCATTCGGAAAAGGCTTCTTAAACAATTTCATGCTAACCCCATAAGGCATCAGAAGGAAGCAGTAGCACCATCGATTGGTGGGAAGCCTGTGCTGCATCCCCACCGCCAATTGCTTGCATTGGAATTGCCACAGGAACACCTCCAGGTAGTTGCATTATAACATGTCCATTATCTGGTCGCTGCCGTCCCTGTAGAACAAGCCAAAGCAGTGCTGATCAAACCACTTCGTGTAATGGCATCAAAGTGTCCTAATAAATAGGTTTAATTTCAATACAAGCTAGGGGGAACCGTATATCGGGGAAGGGGGGAGGGTACAATCGGATCGATTTTTGCGCTTACAGTTACTTTAGAGGGCCCACACTCTCTCTTTCTTTTTTTTTTGTATAAGAATATATTTTATAAGGATATTGAAACCAAATTTGCGAAATTTTAAGAATAAACACAAGGCTGAGATTTTGAAAAGGGTATAATTTTGTCTATTGACATCTGTTAATAAAATGCAATTATGTGTTTTAAACTAAACTGATAATTACTGATTTCCTTTCTCTAAACGGCAAAACTAGCCAACAAGAGCAAAAAAAGTGCAGTAAGGTAAACCCAGGTGTTCAATGCTAATAACAGTTCGATGAACGGTACATCTGACACTTAAGCTTACTAATGTTTTAAGCTTTAATTTAAGAATAATACAAGAATATTTTCAGCCTAAAATCGGCAGGAAAATAAGAATATTCAGCCTGGGCCGAAAAAACAGCATTCTTATATAAGAAAAAGGGTGTATAACTTAGGAGGAGGGAGGGGAGGGAGATTTATAAGTTAGGGGCTTAACTTACCCACAGATGTCTGCTGCAAGGCTTCAACAAACATGTGCAAACTGCAGCCCAGATGCCCAACCAAAACGTAACAATGCCCAAGATAAGCATGATTACGATAATTGCCAGCTTTGCATGATAGTTGTGACTATTTGGCAATCCGTAACTGGTAATGAAATAGATTTCCACGCAGTAAATTATGGCGATTATTCCACCAAGCGCAGCGGCTATGATGGAAAATAGCATGTAAACACAAGCCTGAAAAATATAAGGGGATATGCAAACAAGGAGTAACGATTGCGGTGGTTGGTCGATTGTTTGTACCCGAAAGAAACTGAAAAAAAAGAGAAACAAAAAGAAACTCGTTAACACATCATTCAACTCTTGGTTAACTCTTACAACCCTGATTAGACAAGCAAACTCATACCTTTCTTTACCATTTAGGAAACAGGATAAAGGGGCCCAGATTTCAGGCCTTCTAAGGGGGGGGAGGGGGGTTGGGGTTAACGGAGGGGGATATGCTCTTATCCTCTAACCCTTGGAGGGCTTCATTTGTCTAATGTATAGCCTAGACATTCACAGTGGACACCATAATATGGCAGATACTAGCCAAGTTGGAAAATGCAGATTATACACGAGTTTTAATACGGAAAAAGGCAACCATAACAATAACGTCCCCTGTTAGAGCTTTATAGCAACCACGAAAATCACGTACAATACAAGGGCCATAATGGTCCTATTATGGCTCTTGACAATAACAATACATAACCTAAACTTTTTTTTCTCACTTGACACATTTTCTTTCAAATATTTTCTCTTTTTACGTTGTTGTGACAAAGCTGTCCTAATGACTAAACTATCACCTCATCGCAACAAACCTCGACTGAGGTGTTCTTATCAAAACCAAAACCAAGAATCAGACCTGATTCCTTTCGCTCCAAGTAAGAAAATCAGGATTCCGGAACCCGGGAAATTTTTGCTTGTGGAATCCAGAATATGGGATACAGCTCAAGGAATACGCAAACCCGGTAACGATTGGAATCCGGAATCCAAGTTCCCGAATGACAAGGAATCCATAATCCACATTGAGAAATCCAAAATCCCAATATTCTGAATATTGCCTTGGATAACGTTAGATGGGACGATTCCTGACACTAGATATAATACTTACGAAAGCATTGCGGAAGGTATTCCTTTTCCTGCCACTTGCCGGTACTCCCAGACATCCTGTGATGCAGAGCTGTAAAATAAAATTGTCGCTTTTGCACAACAAAGCAATCAGTTTAAATATCACAAACTCACAAACGCTAGTGAGGATTCAAGCCTTGAAAAAATAGTGACTACAAAATAAAGAAAAAATAACGGGTCTTGTCCTTGTCATTTATTTATTAGCTTCTGAATGGACAGCACAATGATCTCTTCTCCAAAAAAAAACAAAAACAGTCTGATATATCAAATTATTCTTCGAACTCTAACAAACATATATCTACAAACTTATGTAGGGACTCTACACACCTTGCAAACCCATAATTTTGCATTTTCGGATACCTGGTATTTCCTTGCTTATTGTATGTAAACAGTTAAATAATCAAGAGACTTTTCACTTGATGCTTTTTAACGAGTTTCAGTAAGTTATTGGATTGGTATTAGAATTCCTTTTGTGATACCTTTTCTATGAAATTTTTGAAAGGTCCTCTATTGAAAAAAAAAATGTATACAATTACGCCAGCACAGATTAGTCTATAAATCAGCCAAAATCAATCGCTAGGGACGGATTATCCGTCTGAGACGGATAATCCTCTTCAAAATCCGTCGAATTTGACAGATAAACAGATGTATTAATTCAGACCGTTTAACATTGTTCATACAAAATTAAAACTGTTCCATTTTCAAAATAAGACGTATTATCTGTCTCTTGCGAATTATCCAACGGGTAACCCGTCTCAGACGAACAATCCATCTCTAGCGTGAAAACGGCCAATCTAAACCAACACGCGACACATTTGCGTGTTTTACGGTACGAAATATTGTTCTTCTTTGATGCTTCTCGAATACGTAGTTTCGTCAGGAGTTCATAACTAGGGAAATATATTGCTCACCCATATCCCGGTCCAAATTCCGTGACAATCCACCCCAGACTCTTGCTGTCGTTTGTACTGTACAAGTTTGTCGGCGATGCCAAAAACGAGCAATAACACCCCAGTTATGATATGAATAAATGCAAGAAGCCTCGCCATTTTAGCGAAGTTTGCCGAGTTTTCCTCCATGTTGACTTGGGTCTTTGCGGTAAGACACAGAAATTGTTAGTGTACGTCATAACATCCACAAGAAAAGTGGAACTTCTTTCAAAGACTTGAAATCATGAACCACATCACGTACTGTACTTGCCAATGGGAAACCGGCAATGTCAAGCTAAAATTTCGTTTTGGGATTCTTCATTTCACTCGATTCCACGACGTTTCGAACCCAGCTAATGGTTCGTGTCTGAGAATTTTAAAAAGATTCCATTGGGATCGTGAATTAGAAGTTAAGGATTTTGGGTGTCTTTTGCGTAAATCAAAAAAGTGGATTCTTGAATTTAAAGAAACGACAGAATAAGTGGCCCAAAAGGGCTGGCAGATTAATATTATGGCTGTGAAAAGTCTAGCGATTCATATTTTAAGACAGTGCATTTACAGTTAAAAGGGATGCACGTTCTAAACTAGGTATGTGAAAGGGGTATATACGAAAGGGGTACATTTTCTGTCAATTGGATACTAAAAGGGTAAGTGGCTTGACCCTGGTGCGGAGCCTCCCCGTGGATAACATCCCCCCCCGGGTACCCAGGGTACAATATGCGTTCGACTAAGTGAAACCTGGAATCTACCGTGAGCTGTGAGGTCACCGAGAGAGAGTCGCCCAGCCTTTCCCAGACGCGTAGGCAACGCGGCTTGAGCGAAGGCCAAGGGACACTTGCATTGTACACTTGGGCTCTCATTGTTCGTTTTGCATCATGTCTCAGCAATCCGCCACTTTAGAAACGAGAAGGAAACTGGGACTTGTTAACTTACGCAAAGACTTCAGGGACTGTTACTGGGGACAGAGTAAACAAATTGACCAATAGCTGACCGGCGTGTCCCTAGAACACTCCCAGAAGTCTTTGAGAAAGTTAACTCGGTCCAGTTTCCTTCTCTTTTCTAAAGTGGCGAGTAAACCTTTTAACCGATACGGCGGCCATATTGAATTTATTAGATTTAAGGAGTATTATGGGATGCTCTGGGGGCACTCGCTGATTATTTACGCGCCCTTTTGGGGAAAAAAGCGAACTCCACTGTATATTTCTCGAGAAAAAGGCGATCATTATTACGCCCAAACACGGCACAACTATCTTTTTTTTCCCATTATAATCTTTTTCTAGGAAAACGTAAAGAAAAATTGGCCCGAGAAGCGCGCGTAAATACTGATGCGAGTGTATCGGATCGTGCTCATGCCCCCTGGGCATCCCATAATACTCCTTAAATCGAATAAATTCAATATGGCCGCTGTATCGGTAAAAAGGTTTATTGACGATTTTACCCATGATCATTTCATACTGATTAGCTGCCCCTCACTCGTGAAAGATAAGAAAAACAACTCACTCATGATTTTAACAAAGATAACCTGGCCAGAAAGTGTTCATTTAAGGCAAGGGCCAGTCATAAAAGATTTGTAGACTTTATCATCTTTTTCTAAATCAAAAACTACAAATGATGATGAATTATGAGTGTTTTTCTTTTTTCAAAGAGTTTCTAACTATTTTCATTTTGTTGAACCTTATAACACACCCAAAAATATGCAAATTTTTAATGGTGGAGCTCGCGCGCGCGCGAAGCCGAGCACCATGAGTAAGAAAATTTGGTAACCTATGCATCCGATAAATTTTGGTAGTCACGTGACCGTACGCCCGCCCGCCCGCCCGACCGTCGTCCGTCCGACCGATCGTCCGTCCGCACCACAGGCATACCAATGTAAAATAACTCAGTCATCATACAGGTATGGCAACTGGAGGTTACTTTGGCGGGAAATCGCATGCAATTGCGAAGTAGAGATAACTAGAGAGTCAATAAAAACGAAAAAGGAAAGCGGAAATTGTTTCTGTATCCGATTTGTCTAAAGTATTAAAGCTTAGATTAATTGTCATGTCCACAAATTTGGAATATAGAGAAAGAGAGAGTCCGAGAAACGACTGGCCAGCGAAGCTAAATGAGAATTAGCGACATGCAGCTAGATATAGAGCGGGCGATAAAAGACAAAGGAAACATTTTTTTTGTTGGAAGAACAACATTGAAATTTTGTAACGGCGGTGGGAGAATAAGAATGCTAGCGGCCACCAAGATGAAAATGAGCGGCAGTGTAAAAAAAATGAACAAGAACACGTACGACATTTCTTCCATATATAAAACGAGTAACCAGGAAGTTTCTGGAAGTTTCACGTTGTAGTCGTGCAAAACAACAGCAAAAAAATGTACAAAAAAAAAAAAGTGTGCTGTATGTGCAAAATTGCTTTTTAACTAATTAGACCTATTGTTGTTTTTTCACCGTTCTCTTTTCCTTCGCCGCTTAGCATTACACGATTTTATATTTTGTTTGAGCAAACTATGAATATTATCGAGAGCTTCGCTTTTAGCCCTGGCTAAATCTAGATATTAAGCTTCATATTTTCACAAACGCACTGAGTTTTTGACCTTTCAATTTCATGAATGATATTCCGTTGTGCTGGTTTTCCGTTTGAAGTGACACTAACACACGTTTGCTACTGTTAATTGAAAATACGTCTGTCAAGTCTACACATCCACTTGGTTCTATAGAGAAAAGGAGAGAACAAGCATTAGATGCACATAATAATGATGGGCGGATAACATACATTTTGTTTTGCTTAAACTTTCCGTCCGTTTGTGACGAGTTGTGCTTGTTGTCACAAACAGTTGCTTGGGTGGCACATAACTGGTGATCGTACTTTACTTAGTAAATTTATATGTGGGTTCGACTTTATAAAACAGTCAATCACTGCTTTTAAAGGGCTAACGGATAGTTCTCTCTCAAAAGCATTTACACGAAACGTGGCCGTACAAAACAGCCGAGACTGCCAAGAAATGTTACCCAACACTGATTTACCCTGCAAGCAGCTTTTATCGTTTACAAGGTGGCTCGCGTCGCTTGTAAACAAACCAATTACGCTACTTTGTATTACCAATATTTCGAAAGGCACGGCCTTTCTTCTTCAGGGTCTTACATACAAATGACATGGTCACACAATAAAAGATAGCCTGTAATATGATACTATGAGTGTCAAAATAAAAAGGAGAAAGTGAACAATGAAAGTATATGAAAACAAAAACCGTTGAAGTCGTTTCATAAAAGAAATCTGAAATGTAAAATCAGCCTTGCTTCTTTCCGTTGATGTAGAATTTATGGCTGATTAGATCCTCTACTGGGATTAGGTCCTTCTGTTTTGTAACGTTGGTCCTTGTTCCCAAAACTAAACATGATCGGAAACCTTTCGATTGGAATTCCTCTCCCTTCTACAAAGAAAGCCACACCTACCTCCTCGTTTTTCAGTAGTGCGTAACCACCATGCCTGAACGAACGGGGAATTTCACTCTCCTGAGGGGAGGAATCTGTACTTGACATTACGTTAGATGGACTAATGCGCACGAGATGAGATTGAAACTGCTCTTGTGGGGTGCTCGTTGCCATCCCTTCAGACGAGGCAGCTTGGACAATCACATGCTGACCTGGTGATGCACCAGAAACAGGCACTATGACCACCGGTTGCTGGTAACCCCGTGGTGCAGTTCCATCGCTACCTGGTTGCATCAGAGCAGCCACAGGAACACCTCCATTAAGCTGGGGTGTGAGGTATCCCTCCGATGGGTTGTTACTGCACATGCACTGCTTTCCCTGTTAGCGATTAAAATATGCAAATCCCTGTAAGTTTACCGGAAACTTTACAGAGGTAGATGATTCACTCATTTTCTTTAGAGATCAAGAGTGGACTACAAAAAGAAATAAATGGACCTCCAGAAAGGAGATGAGCAGTACTATAAATTCCATTGCCGGCTTTAGGTTTCGGAACTTAGGTATTTCAAATACGTCCTTTGGTCCCGGCCGGGTCTTTGGTATCAAAATCATGTGAATGGCTTCTCCTTTATATTATTTTATCGTTACTCTCTCTTTCTCTTAACATACCTATACTTATATTTTGGCGTACTATCCAATTACTTAGGCATGGCGTGTACTGTCCAATTAAACTGTCCTATTTAGGCTGAAATCAGGGCAGTTGATAGCCAATCAGATTTGAACATTGTGTTATAGTTATGATTAAGCTCCAAAATGACTCAACATTTCGTGGCGAGGATCCTAATTAGACTCAGTTCTCAACATCTACATTGTGCGTGAGGTGGTCGCTTGCAAAAGGTTAAAAAGAATCGAAAATTATTAAACCATTAGCCCCGAAAACTGGTCGCGGTCGGTTGGAGGAGGTGGTCGTTTACTATTGGTTCCAACTGTAAGGGTTTGACTAGGAAAATTTTGGTGTTTTGGATAGGTGGTCGCTTATGGGAGGTGGTTGCACATAGAGGTTCGACTGTTACTCACAACAACATTTCAAGGTTTTGACAACGCTGACTCCCATCGGCTCGAGTGATACTTCATTTTGATTTGCTTTACAGGCCAGCACGAAGTGGTACAGCTTTAGAACATGTAGAAAGGCGAGATGTATGAGCTTGAAAAGTTTGTCGACTGGATTTCGGAATCCGGAAAATTTCTGCTTGTGAAATATGGAATCCTTGGAATTCAACTGTAGGATTCTGGAATCCCGATAACGATTGGAGTCCGTAATACAAGTTCCTTATACAATGAATCCAGAATCCAAGACTGCCTTAAAGATTCGCCTCTCACTTGGGACGAGTTATGGCTACTTTACCTGCGGTTGCTGGCAACAGGGTTTCAGCAAACAAATGCATATCGCTGCCCAGATTCCAATTCCAAACGTAGTCATACCCAGAAAGAGCATGAAGGCGAGAATAACCACCTTTCCTTGATGGTACCTCTTGTAGGACTCGTAGTCGTCATAATACGAATCTGCGTCACTCGAGGTAATCAGAGATAAGGTAACGCTGTAAAATACAATGATTATCCCACCAAACACGGCGGATGTAATGGAGAAACCCATGAAAACGCCAGCCTGAAAAAATATATTTGTAAATAAAAAAAATAATCAAAATTCCACGAAGAAGCTGTAAGTTAAAGGGAATGGTCAACGTCACATTAAGGCCGTTGGGCAACAATAAAGCCAAGTAACGTCTTACTTACAAAAGCATTGCGGGCATTTGTTATTTCTCTGCTACTTCCGGGGATTCCTACAGCCCCTGTGATACACATCTGTGACAGAAGAGATAACAATGAATGGTTTATGCATTATTAAGTCTACTTTAAAAGCAATTTGCCACACTTTGAGCAAAGCTAATTAAAATCAAATCCCTGAAACGCGTCTTCGGCTTCTGCAAACTGACTGAGTTTTTTGAATGTCGGTCCCAAAGCAGAGTGATGCCACATATGTGGAATAGGAGCGAACGAATTCGGGAAAATTTTTGTTTTGGTGTGGTGTTTAATTTTGTTTTTGCTTTTTTTCTCAGTAAGAGGTATCAAGATGGAGACAACCAATTCTCTTTAAAAACGACTTAATTGCTTACCCATATTCCAATCCAAACTCCGAAATACCCGTAGCCAGTTATCACTTCGGGGACAAGTCGATCGGCAATGCCAAAACATAGCAGTAAAAATCCAGTAAGGATTTGAGTAATGGCCAAAAACCGCGCCATTTTAGCTGCTTTTGCTGAGTTTTCCGCCATGTTGACAAAGCAACTTTGCAGTCAACACGGAAACTAAAGACTGCGTCACTAAACTCTCATGAATATTTAACAAGTCATGCATGTCCATATCGTTATTTCACAGTGGATGTCGGAATCCTTATTCAGGGTCATAGCCTGATTCTCGGCAGACATCCGAGGTCGATCGTGGCCCCTTCGCTTCCCTCCTTCTCCCGAAGAGAGTGGGAGGGATGCGAACGGCCCACGATCGAACTTGGACGTCTGAAAATCAGGCTTCAGGGTCATTGTGCTGTCATCGTTGGCCTGTGTTTTCTTTGAACTTGAAATTGAACAAGATGCAATGCGCAAACCTTTGTTAATCAATCAAGAAACTGACTAAATTGGATGATTTTCGTCCATTTTTGCAATTTCCTAGTATTCTGGAGTAATTACTTGGCGTCACACTAGAAGCTAAGTTAGTTTCAAGTAAGCACTTGAAAATCTTAAGTCGCTCCTAGATCTCGAGAAAGGTTGTCGGAGAAAATGTGCAAGCCCCCTGGCGATAAATAATGACCGGTCCCTTATGCATATCACAATCGTCATTGCTCGCGACAAAAGCTAAGACTATCAGGCCTTTGCGCTGGAAAAGAGCTTTTTGTAGTTTCGTATATTTTATTTCGTTACTTTCAACTCTAAGGGTTTTAACAATCGTAAAAGAGATGCTTACCTGCTTCGTTTTTTTGAGAGTACTTAGCAGCAGCAGAAAAAGAAAACGAACAAGAAACAAGCGAGGTCTTCCTCGGTGTTTCACTGGAATGGCTGAACAATGTTCTTTTTGGCAAAGAAATTCGCCGTAGGGCTAGGGGTTGGCCCTTTCGTAACGCTCTTAGCTAACCAAGACATGTTGAATGTTTATCTATCCGTTCATTAGAATCTTGGAACCCCTGCACGTTCAGAAAGTGCACATGGTTTCCATTTCCTTTCGGTCAAGTGTGTTCTCAAGTGTGGTGCAGACCATATACTTGGCGACAAACTTCGGCTTCTTTGAACTACGGACGTTTCGGTGGTCACCAAGTAAATTTGAATTGGGTACATTTTACCCCTTCACACTCAAAGTAGGTTCCAAGTAAACTTAGATTATACTTGAGAGCTCTAGTGTGAAGCCAACAATTAATTGTTATGAGAGGCGTCTTTTAGCCGGGGGCGTTTATTTAGACAGGGGCATCTAATGCAAACTTAAAGCGTAAGGGAGGCGTCTAGACAAGGGACGTTTATTTGAGAGATGGCGTCAATTAGATCATTTACGATATATTAAAACAGTTAGATTCAATGTTTGTAATGTCCGAAATAATCAAGGTCTTCGGTAAGTAATAGCAGCGTCGGTCGATAAACAACCTCGACCTTGGTTATTCCGAATATTCTAATCTAATAATTGTTTAAACCATCGTAGCGTTTCTTACGTAATTATAGTTACTATGTTTTACAATCAGTTCTAAGCAAGCTGGTCGACAGGGTAAGCTTTCTTCTCAGTCATTTTAATCTGCTAACAAAATTAGAGAAAAACTAATAACCTTATAAATTATGTTAGATGCACGTTAATACACCTTTTCTGTGGATGTTAATGTGTTCCGCCAAAAATGCAAATCTTACAATAACTAAACTGTATTAGAGCTCGACATGTCCTAATTTGTATGTCGGGTGAGAGAGTTTTACTCTCTCACAGTCATCCCTTGCATAGCTTGATTTTAATTTTTTCTTCATCAAGCCTCTTTATCTCTTCGGAGAAATGAAGTTCTAGTTCGCCCAACCTTTAGCTCCACTTCAACCATTCAAACTGCTACTGATCTTGTGTATTTGTTCTGTAGTGATGCGTTTTGTCCATGCTCGAACAAAGGAGTAGCACTTTATAATTATAACCCGTGAGTGTATGAAATCTGCTTTTGACAATGCATTAGGTGGGGTATTGTTCACCCCTTCAGAAGAGGCTTCTTCAGCAATTAGCACCATCGATTAGTGGGAAGCGTGTGCTGGAGTTCGCTGCCAATTGCTTGCATTTGAACGGCCACAGGAACACCTTCAGGTAACTGAACCATGGCATGTCTATCATCTGGGTTATAGTAAAGTCACTGCTGTCCCTGTAAAACAAGCTGTAGCAGCCGTGCTGATCAAAATACGTTTTGTATTGACTGGCTTTTTTAAATTAAGCTTCAAAATGACAATAATTGCCAGCTTTGTACGATAGTTGTCGTTATTTTGGAATCCGTAACTGGTAATGAAATAGATCTTCACGCTGTAAACTATGGTGACTATTCCACCAAGCGCAGCGGCTATGATGGAAAATCCCATGTAAACGCAAGCCTCAAAAATGAAATAAATGCAATTAAGAATCAATGATCGAGATGGTTGGTCACAAAAGCGATAGTAACAAATAAAAGTTAACTTGTTAAAACATCTTAACTCATGTTACGTCTTAAGGCCCCGATTAGACAAACTTGTACTTTCCTTTGCCATTTAGAGGACAGGATAAAGGATAAATAATAACAATAACAAAGAAAAAATCGTCATCGGCGAGCGTCAGCAGCCAATACAACAGCGTGAAGTATCAATATTATAATTCTCTTTTCACGTTGTTGTAAGTTGCTAAAGCTGTCCTAATGACTAAAGTGTAACTTATCGTAGCAAACCTCGACGGAAGTGTTCTGATTTAGTACAAAACCAATTAGTAATCAGACCTGACTCCTGCCGGCCCATGTAAATCGGGGAAATTTTTGCTTCTGGAATCCACATTCCTGGGCGTTGGAATCTGGAATTCAGCTCAAGGAATCCGGAATCCAGAATCCACAGCGAACAATCAAGAATCCAAGAATCCAAAATTTTCTTCGAGCAGTGGCAGATCTAGGGGAGGGGCCCCGGCTCCGCCCCCCCCTCCTTCTTTTTAGACAAAACTGAGGCCCGAAGAGCCGAAAAAATTTTTTGGGGAGATCGCCTCCCCCCCACCCCTACCAGGCGCAGCCTCCCGGTATAAAACTTTGTTGAATAACACCGCACCCCCTTCCTCCCTGGGTACCCAGGGTTCAATATGTGCTCGGCTCGGTGAAACGTTGCTCTAACGTGAGCTGTGTCACGTAACCGAGAAAGAGTCGCCCAGCCTTTCCCAGACTTCGCGCGTGCAACGCGGCTTGAGATAAAGTCATGGAACACTTTTCTATATACACTCAGGATCTCATTCTTCGTTTGGAGCCTGCATCAGCAATTGGCGATTTTACCCATGATTATTTCATGTGATTAGCCGGCCCTCGATCGCGCAAGATGAGAAAAACAACTAACATAACCTGGCAAAACAGCGTTCCTTAAAAAAGCAATGAATTGACAACATCTTCTCTGTCATGAAAAATTAGACTTCATTGTTTTTTTCGTTAAAAAATCGCAAATAATGATGAATCGTCAGTGTCTAACTATTTTTATTTAGTTTTATGAAACCTTATTATTAATAACAAGAAGCTATATAGTGGCACTAATGCAGCGAACTATAATAATATTACTTTAACCCTTTAAGCCCTAAGAGAGATCAGTGTCAAATTTCTCCTTGTAATATCACTGCTTAATAAAACAGAGTGGTCATGAGAATTAAGGACATGATCACACAAGATGAATCCAATTGATACTTCAACAAATTCTCCCCACTACTTCTATGGAAAACGTATAGGGATGAGAAGAGAGAATTTGTATTTTGATGACAGGGTTTAAATGATTAATATATAATGAATTTTTCTCCTTTTACTTCATGATGTACCGTTGTGCTTGTAATCCGTTTCAACTGAAACTTAGAGCTATTGATTCTGTAGAGAAAAGAAAAGGACAAGTATTAGATGCACAATAATGAGTGCATAATATGTATCTTATTTTCCTTTAAGTATTCTAAACATGTGAATACCGTTACTTTGAATTGCGTCCAGCTTTGATCGAAAAAGAGATAATGATGATTATCACAATGGCGATATTACATGGACAACAGGAACTATGACACTTTAATTCCCCAAGAAGAACGTCCTATGTGTTAATCTTCAACTCTGACACTCATCCAGCTACGACTTGACAACCACGAAGTCCGTAAGACTACGCTCTCACATGTGCAATACAATCGACCTAATTAAATTATTCTCTCATGACAACGACGACGACGACGACGATGATGATGATGATGATGATAACCATCATAATGATGATGAACGAAGGTTACGGAATGCGGGAGACAACAATCGAAGATCAAAACGCTCCTGCTCCAACGCTTTGCTTCCCGTAAGTTTTACGTGATAAATAGTAAAAAGGCGGGTGAATTTCTCCTTGCGCATCCTGATTTCGGAGCATGATAGGAAAGCTTTCGATTGGAAGTCCCCTCCCTGCTACTCAGAAAGCCACACCTACCTCCTCGTTTTTCATTAGTGCGTAACCACCATGCCTGAACGAAGGAGGAATCTCACTCTCCTGGGGAGAAGAATCTGTACTTGTCGACATTGCGTTAGATGAACTAATGTTCACAAGACGAGATTGAAACTGCTCTTGTCGGGTACCCGCTGCCGTCCCTTCAGGCGAAGCCGCTTGGACAATCTCATGTTGACCAGGTGGCGCACCAGCACCTGGCAACAAGACTACTGGTTGATGGGAATCCTGTGGTCCACCGCTACCTGGTTGCATTGGATAAGCCATAGGAACATCTCCATGAAGCGCGGGAATAACATAGCCATCCGCTGGGTACTTCCTGTTAGTGATTAGAGTAATGCAAATTCTGTAAGTTTACAACAAACTTTGGAGTGGTAGTTGATTCACCCTTTTCTTTCGAGGTTAAGCAATAAATTAAGAAATAAATGGACCACCAGAAGAGAAATACTATATAAAGTTTATTTTCGGCTCCCAGTTTTGGAGCTTAGATCAGTTTACAATTGATATGTGTGGTATCAAATTCGAATTTAATAACCCACATCTCTGTACAAATAGGGAACAGCGGAAAAGTGGTAAACGGAATGCTGTACAGATAGATGGCTGCTTTATGCCGATGATTTCGTACTGTTCTGTAAAACAAGAGCTGATTGAAGTTGAAAACCATCATGAACATTCTAAATAATACTTCCTTTCGCTTTGGACTCACCATCTCCTTTCCAAGGATTTATTTTTGGGGAAAATTTCATTTTGTTCTAGGTCTCCTAGCGAGAAATATTGCCAATCAATCATATGCTTTAAAAACACCTTTGACCAAGATTTTTAAAACACCTTGAGGAAACAACATATCGCGTCGAAGCTCTAACTACATTGTAGATTCAGTTCTCAACATGTACGTACAGCAATATCTCAAGACAATATTGCAAGGAAGTTTTGACAAGGCTGACTCTCAACCTATAAAATGATTGTTATTTTAATGTACTTGGTGGGCAAACACGAATTACAGAGTTTAGAAAGCCGCGAGATGAGTTTAAGTTATGGTTACTGTACCTCCAGTTGTTCACAACAAGGTTTCAACAAACAGGTGCATATCGCTGCCCAGATTCCAATCACAAACGTAGCTATGCCCATGATAAGCATGACGGGAAGAATAACCACCTTTACATGGTAGTACTTATTGTAGGACTCGACGTTATCATAGTAGATCTTCGCGTCCTTCGAAATAATCAGAGAGATGCCAATGCCGTAAAAAAAGATGATTATTCCACCAAACACGGCGGATGTAATAGAGAAACCCATGAAAACGCCGGCCTGAAAAAAAAATATATATATACCTATGAATAAAAAAATAATAATAAAAACTTCCACTAGGACCTTTAAGTTAAAGGAACGGCCCACAGCAACATTAAAGTCATACGTCTTACTTACAAAACAGTTGCGAGTATAATTCCTGTCTCTACCACCTCAAGGGATTCCAAGAGCTCCTGTAATGCACACCTGCAGCACAAGAAATAAAAACGTATGGTTTATGCAAGGTAAAACCTACTTTAAAAATAAACTGCCCTGCTTTGAGCCTTGAAGTTAAATCAAATCCCTGAAAAAGTGTCTTCGGCTTCTGTAGAACGTTATCGAATTTCTGGCATTAGAGCAAACTGATGGCAGTACGTAACTTTGTGGTATAGCTAAGGATCAAGAGAAAAAATTTGGAAAAATATTTGTTTTGTATATTATTTTGCGTTTGTGTTTGTTTTTTTAAAAAAGACTGAAAATCACGAGAGAAAATTAACCACCAATTTTCCGTAAACAACTTATAACTACCTCCCAAAAAATGTATTTAACTTTGCACGTCCGGGGGTTTACCCTCGGACGTAACCACGCAAATGCATACCCCCACCGTACAAGGGGGAATGGATGAAACACCCCCTTTCCCCTTGAGTTTTTGATATGTTACATTAGTTCGAAACGATTTTACCTTCAGTGGAAAACCTTTGATCTTCTTAAGAAGATGAGATATTTTATGGGTGGTGTCGCTGCTGGAGGCCTGTGACGTCACCAACAATGGTCGTCATCTTGGCCGCCATCTTGGATGTTACCAAGAATTAGAAATCAGGCTAAGAAGAAATAGTGATTGTTTTGTGCTTGACGTGAAAAATAACACATAAATAAGCTTTTCGCGTGATTTTAGCCACAATATTTGCTGTGGTTGAAAAAATATGTATTTTCATTCAAAAATGGCTTGACCACCAGCTACTTATGACGTCATATCTCGTAACCACAAAAACTGACCATTACTGAACTTGACTTACTATTTATTTTGCAAAATTTGATATTTATCCAGTGATATTTGGACTTATTAATCGGCATCTTGATACAAATGTTGTGCATCATGCAGAAAAATGCTATATACAGGAGATTGAAAAGTTTTACAGTTCGCTCGGTGTGTTCCCCAGGCAAAAACATGCAGTGCACTTGTAGCCGATGAACCATGTATTGATGAATGTTGCGGCTTCGTCAATACATTTGCTTCTTACGTGGTTCCTAATCTTTGGGCAAATTCAAGCCTCGTTTTTCTAATACAATTGTTCCTATAAAACACAAAAACTTTCAAAAGGCATCTGTATCAAACACTTTCTAAACTGATTTAATTAGTTAATCATTCTAAGTAGGAATATATTGCTTACCCATATTCCAATCCAAACTCCAAAATACACGTAACCAGTAAAGCCTCCAGGGACATATCGATCGACAATGTCAAAACTGAATAGTAAAATTCCAGTAAGGATTTGAGTAATGGCCAGAAGCCTTGCCATTTTAGCTACCGTTGCCGAGAATTGCGCCATGTTGACATTAAAATCGACCTCGCACAGTCGGAAACACAGAAACTAACTTCTGCGTCATTAAACGCTTATATGAATATGTAAAGCAAATTCATGCATGTCTCTTGACTGTATTCAATCTTCTAGCCCCCTACTACAGATAATAAAGCTGTTGTTTGAGTCGTAACGTAACACTTCTTCTCACAAGAGAGTTACAAAGAAAGGAGAGGCAACAATCATCCAGCAGTAAAATAAGAAAACATACATTAAAAAAATTTACTTGTTTTTTGAATTTTCTGTGTGAAATTGAAAAAAATTCAAGGATTACGCCAAAGTGCAGACGGCCTTAGTACTTTGTGACATTATCGACAAGTAATGTTAGCCGGAGGTTAGGGGCGGGGGGGCCGATGCGCGATCCGCCAGTTTTCTTCTCCTACCAATGTAGTCTCCCACGCAGGCGTTTTTAGGGGAGGTCGAAGGGGCCTGAGTTCGAATCCTACGTATACAGGTGACGTCATATATGGGCTGAGCTTGTTGATTGACCTCGGTTAAAAGAGCGGAATTTGCTAAAGCTTTTAAAAGCCTAGCAAAGTACTTTGATTCTAAGGTTACTGCTTCTTAGTAAAGTGAAATACGTATCTAATACACCGTGAAGTTTGAAATTTTTCTTCAAATAATCTGAGTGAATCTGACACTAGTGTTACGGTCGGCACAATTCGTCAACATGATTTTACGCGGGTGTGAAGCGTTTTCAACAAACAACAAGTTTATTTCAAGTTAAGTATAGCTTATAAAGCTTGTGCCCGCAGTTAGCAAAGGCTATTCGAGGGGGGGTGGGGGGGGCACAAAAGAAAAAGGAAAATTCTATAATATATACATATATATGTTAAACGAGCAATCCTAGAAGCAATCTAGTTTGTCCATTTCAACGACACGAAGCTCATTCACTTTGGTAAAAATGGAAAGATTGTTACATCAAGTAATCAATTCAGACACGCTGGCCCTCACTCGTACAAGACAAGTAAAACAACTGATTCATAATTTTAACATACATAAACTGGCAAGCCTGTCACAGTGTTCCTTTAAGGAAATGGGTCATTATTTTTGTTAAAGAAGCAATTAATTAACAACATCTTCTCTATCACAAAAATTTGTCGAGTTTATCATCTTTTTTAACGTCGAAAAACTACAAATGATGAATCGTGAGTGTCTGACCATTTTCATTTAGTTTTATTAAGACGCTACATAGAGAAACTTAGAGCTATTTAATACTTCTAATTGAAAATACGCCTTTCAAGTCTACACATCCACTTGATTCTAAAAAGGAAAGGAAAGAACAAGGATTAGATGCGCAATAATGGATGTATCATTGGTGTTTTGTTTTGCTATTAGTATTCTAAACAAGTGAATACCGTTTCTTTTATTTGCGTCTAGCTTTGATGGAAAAAGAGATAATGATGATGATGACCACAACGGCGATATACACGGACAACAGGAACTATGACAATTTAATTCCACACGAAGAACTTCCTATGTGGAAATACTCAACTCTGACACTCATAAAGCTACGACTTGACAACCAAGAAGTCCGTGAAACGTCGAGCTCACATGCGCAATACAATCGCCCTAATTATTCTCTCATGACAATGATGATGATGATGATGACGGATGATGATGATGATGATGATGATGATGATGAAAAATGAAGGTTATAGAGTGTAAGCGACAACGATCACATATCAAAACGCTTCTGTTCCAACGCCGTGCTTCCCTTAAGTTTCACTTGAGTCAAAACGCGCTTGATAAGATCAATATGGCGCGTGAATTTTCCCTCGCACATTCTACCTTCGAAGTATGATCGGAAAGCTTTCGATCCTCTCCTTGCTACTCAGAAAGCCACACCTACCTCCTCGTTTTGCAGTAGTGCATAACCACCATGCCTGGACGAACGAGGAATCTCAGTCTCCTGGGGAGAAGAATCTGTACTTGTCGACATTGCTTTAGATGGATTAATGTTCACAAGACGAGATTGAAACTGCTGTTGTGGGGTACTCGTTGCCATCCCTTCAGGCGAGGTAGCTTGGGCCATCACATGCTGACCTGGTGATGTACCAGAAACAGGCACCAGGACCACCGGTTGTTGGGAACCCTGTGGTGCAGCTCCAGGGATACCTGGTTGCATCGGAATAGCTACAGGTACACCTGAAGGGAACTGGGGGACAACATATCTCTCCGCTGTTAGTATTTGAAGTATGTAAATTACTGTAAGTTTACCACAAATTTAAAGTGATAGATGCTTCATACATTTTCCAGGGGGTAATAGTGGACTACACTGAAACCTCCAGAAAAGAGGTGCTATAAATTTCTGTGTCTCATTTTAGAGCTTAATTTCAGTTATGATGTTGTTTTTATCCATATGTGTGGGGACTTCTCCTTTATAGTACTAAAACTATTTTGCTTCACTCTTCCTTCCTCTTGGCATGTCTATTCGTTTTATTGAGCACTGTAAAAATGATTTTGAACATTTACATTCCACAATTATCTCACGACAATATCAGTTCAAAGACGTTTTGTCAAAGCTGACTCCCAGCGGTTTGAGTCAAGGTCCGCAATTGGGTTCTTCAATCCCGTAATCCCGACCCGAAATTTCGTGTACTCCCGTAATCCCGAGGGTTATTTTTGGCATTTCATCACCCAAAAATACTATCAATCCCGAATCTCGCTCCGATTTTGCATTCAAATCTCGAGTCTCGAGCTTCAAATAAAGGAACTCCCGGGTCCCAAGAAACCTATTGGGAACTGTTTTGAGTGACAATGTATTTTAAAGTACTTTAAAGTCCCAGACCAAGTGAAAGTGCACTTTAGAAGGGCGAGATAAGCTTTGAGTTTTGGCTACTCTACCTGCGGTTGTTGTTCGCAGCAGGGTTTCAACAAACAGGTGCATATCGCTGCCCAGATTCCAATTCCAAACGTAGCGATACCCATCATAAGCATGATGGCGAGAATAGCCACCTTTCCTTGGTAGTACTCATTGTAGGACTCGACGTCATCAAAGTAAAACTTCGGGTCGCTCGAGGTGATCTGGGAGATGCCAATGCTGTAAAAAAGGATGATTATTCCACCAAACACGGCGGATGTGATAGAGAAACCCATGAAAACGCCGGGCTGGAAAAAAATATATATTTATAAATAAAAAAGAATAATATAAAATTCCACCAGGAAGCTTTAAGTTAAAAGGAATGGTCAACATCATATTAAGTCCGTTAGGCAATAATAAAGCAAAGTAACGTCTTACTTACAAAAGAATTGCGGGTATTAGTCCTTTCTCTACCACTTCCAGGGATTCCGAGAGCTCCTGTAATGCACATCTGTGGCAGACCAAATAACAACGAATGGTTTATACATGGTAAAACTTAATTTATAAATAACTTGACACAATCTTTACTTTCATTGTTGAAAGAAGTAGAGAAAACATGCATTTTCACGCGAAAATGGCTTGACCACCTGCTACTTGTGACGTCATATCTCGTAACCATAGTAACTGATCACCATCGCTAATCTTGTCTCGAAATGTATGCGAGGGATAAATGAACAGCTACTGGCATGAAAACGTCAGGTGTTGATGTATTACCATCTACGAAAAAAACTCAAAAAACATCATGGGGGGGGCATGGGGGGGCAGTGGGTGAGGTTTAAAACTGTGAGGTTTGGATCTACGACTGTTCAGATTGAGTTTTTAACTCAGTGAACGCAGCAAATAACCTCCAAGGGCAAACAGAACAAAACCAAGGAATCTGTTTGAACAACAACAAGTAAATTTTTGCCAACCTCATTGTTCTTAACTTTTAGTAGAAATCTAGCCTCACTGTTATTAAATTGTTCTACGAGAGGGATTGTTTGTTTCGACTTCCTTTCGAAAAGTCTAGAAAGATAATTTCGAATCGTATTAATTTTGTTTTGCTAAAGCTGTTATTTGTCCAATGGTATGATTTGGAACTTTTTTTTATCTGCAGTGATATAAATATCAGTTGTTCATCAGGTAAATGGTAGAGACAAATGCAGAAAGTTTTTTCCGTTTTTTTTTTTGTTTTTATCTGTTCGCTCGGTGTGTTTCCCAACAAAAACGTGCAATGCATTTGTAGCCGATGAGCCATGAATTCATGAATTTTGCTTTGTCAATAAAAAAACGCGGACGTGAAAAAAATTTTACAAACTTCAAAGGCTTGTATGGGATCGATCGGTTTTTTTCTTAAAAGAGATAAAGTTGTTTTTTAAATATTCTTGGGCCTTGTTGTATTTTTGTTGTTTGCCCGCGTCTCAGTTTTGAAGGGTTTTCTTATAAATGTTGTTCCTAAAAAGGCAATTGTTTTTATTTAAAAACATAACTTTTTTATCTTAAAAAATGTTCAGACGATCGGTTTGTAACGATCATATGGAAAGCAAGAGTCACCCGGTTCACCGATTTGGGCACAAAAACGAAAACCATGGTTCCTATTCTTGGCAAATTTTACCCTCGTTGACAAAATGTTGTTCCTAAAAAAGACGACCTTCGTCTCAAATCCAGACGGTCGAACGATCATATGGAAACACTACCCGGACACCGATCACAAACGACCCGGCTGGACGACTAAGACGACCTCGATCTATCCGGTCGATCGGGACGATCGTGTAAATTTTGAAGCGATCATGCATATGGAAACGCTCTCAGATAACTGAGACGAACGGGACGATCGAAGGCTATCCCTGAATCGGAGCTGGAAGAGTATCGTTACAATTATTCTTGATTCCCGAACCGAAGTACAATGATTCATGATTCCCAAGTTTTTAAAAGAATAGAGCTTCATGATTCTTATATGTTTTGTAACTTTAATGATTCATGATTCATGATTCCATGCTAAGGTGATCCGCCGACCGTGTGACCCTACATCCGGGAACTTGAATAAGACGAGTGTTAGAGAAAAGTCCAGAGGTGTTTATCTGGCAATAGGCTGAGTTTTTCCGAGTTATTCGATGATATTTCGCTTATGTTAAACGTGAGAAGATTATGCGTGGTTGTGGGTAGTCTTATCATGCTCAGTGCCGCGAAAGTGTGTGATTGTGCGATTTCCGCATGGTGTTGACAGGTATGTGATCGCGTGGTTGAGCTGCGGTTTGGCCAAAATATTCTGTGCCAGCCATTAATATTCTTTCGTGGGTGCTTAGCTTAGCTGATTGTACCTTGGAAAAGCGACTCTCGACTCAGCAAAATTGTATCTAGGTCTAGTTTCAGCGGGCTCTAATGGCATTGAACCATAGGCCGATTTGTGCAGATAAGAAAGTGATAATTTGTGCACTACGTTTCATTCAGTTTGTTGTCTATTCCATGCAGAATCCTGTTGTTTATCGAACCGCGCAAAAGTAATGTTTTGCTGACTATTTAAGTTGTTATGTAACTAGGCACTCTTTCGCTGCAGCTCACTCAACTTAAAAATTTCTAGACTGAAATGACAACGCAAACTTCGCGAAGTCAGTTTACTGAATAAATGTTCTAAAATTTGCGTTATTTTAAATTTGGAGTCGTTGAAATGCTTCTAGGGACCATTAACTTACTGCCAGTCGTCAGATAAACGCTTTTGATCGATCGACCTTTGAATTTTTGAGTTTTAAAATCCAGGGCCCAGTTGTTTTAAATTGCCATTCAAAGGCATTTTCTCGGATAATTTTCTCCGTTATTTTTTAGAATGAGTTGATATTTTTAAGCTTTCAAATCTGTTTAAACTTCGACCCGGTTTTCGAAAATCCAGGTATCTACTATATGATACTACATGTCCTCGTGGAACTCTTGTAGCTTCTCGACGCCGCAAAATCGAGAGAAAAAGCATATCGCAAGGCCCGAGGTTCGCTCTCCGATTAAATGCATCATTATGTTTGGCTTGTTTGCGAGACAGGCGCAAAAATTCTAATGTCTGACCCAGAAACATCGCTGACGACCCCGCGTCTCTTGTCGTTGAGGCGATCGAGACCATCAATCGTCCCAGTCGTCCGGATCTTGTCGAAGTTTTTTGAAACGACTGGGGCGATCGGGACGATCCGGACGATCATGATAGCGAAATTGTTCCTATAAACAAAAAAGCGTGTATCAAAAGGCGTCTGTATCAGACGTTTTCTAAACTTATTCAACATAAAAGTAATATTATCCCTTTATAATAAGCAGGAAAATGATTTTGCTTACCCATATTCCGATCCAAACTCCAGAATACGCGTAGCCAGTAAAGCTTCCAGGGACAAGTCGATCGGCAATGCCGAAACTAAACAGTAAAAATCCAATAAGAATTTGATTAATGGCCAAAAGCCTAGCCATTTTAGCTACGCTTGCCGAGTTTTCCGCCATGGCGACAAAGCCACCTGCAGTCAACAATGGAATTGAAGCTTGCCTCGTAAAACTCTCATGAATATGTAAAGCACAGGACACCCAACGGCTGTTTTCTGTATAATATCTGTTAGGAGAAGCAAATATTGCCTAGAATTTTTTATTACTTGAGGACCGCTGAAAAATGTCTAGTTGACGTTTCCATTTATGTACAATTTTCGAAGCTTATCTG